CCTGATTGCTGTCAGAATATTTGGAATAGTTTGAAATAACCTGGTTGTTGTCAGAATATTTGGAATAGTTTGAAATGGCCTGATTGCTTTCATAATATTTGAAATAGTCTGAATTGGCCTTATTGCTGTGAGATTATTTGAAATAGTTTGTAATAGCCTGATTGCTGTCAGAATCTTTGGAATAGTCTGAAGCAGCCTGATTGCTCTCAGAATATTTTGATTAGTTTGAAATAACCTAATCGCTGTCAGAATATTTAGAATATTTTGAAATATGCTGTCAGAATATTTTGAGTAGTTTGAAATAGCCTGAATGCTGTCAAAATATTTTGAGTAGTTTGAAATAGCCTGATTGTTGTCAGAATATTTGGAATAGTTTCAAATAACTTGATCACTGTCAGAATATTTGAAATAGTCTGAAATGGCCTGATTGCTGGCACAATATTCATAATAGTTTGAAATAACCTGATGGCTGTCAGAATATTTGGAATAGTCTGAAATGGCCTGATTGCTGTCAGAATATTTGGAATAGTTTGAAATAACCTGATCTCTGCCAGAATATTTGGAATAGTCTGAAATAGCCCGAATGCTGTCAGAGTATTTAGAATAGTCCAAAATGGCCTGATTGCTGTCAAAATATTCAAAATAGTTTGAAATGGCCTGATTGCTCTCATAATACTTGAAATAGTCTGAATTGGCCTTATTGCTGTGAGATTATTTGAAATGGTTTGTAATAGCCTGATTGCTGTCAGAATCTTTGGAATAGTCTGAAGCAGCCTGATTGCTCTCAGAATATCTTGATTAGTTTGAAAGAACCTGATCGCTGTCAGAATATTTAGAATATTCTGAAATAGCCTGAATGCTGTCAGAATATTTGAAATAGTCTGAAATGGCCTGATTGCTGTCAGAATATTTGGACTAGTTTGAAATAACCTGATCCCTGTCAGAATATTTGGAATAGTCTGAAATAGCCCGAATGCTGTTAGAATATTTAGAATAGTTTGAAATAACCTGATGGCTGTCAGAATATTTGGAATAGTCTGAAATGG